TTTCCCATTATGATGCATATTTATATTTTCTGCCATTGTTTACGTGTTCTTAGTTTATATTCCATGTCCGGCTAAATTTAAGTAATCGGTATGTAATAAGTGGTCAGATGGGATTCGATAATTAACCGGTGTATACTTTCCTTTTCAAACTTATTTATGGCTTCAGTTTTTAAATCGATTTTTCTAAAATAAATGTTCGTCGCGACAGCGAGAACTTATTTAAAAGCAGTTTTGCCACGACAGTGGGAAATTCATAAAGGTACGAACCAACAAGCGACAGCTGAGGTTAGGTCCAGATAGTAAAAACTAAGCATTCGTTTTAAAAACAGCGACAACGCTTTAAAAAGGATTAGAGTTTAATGGTTTTCAAAAAGTAATTTTAACCGCGAACGGGATAGCGACAACATACGATTCGCCTTAGAGTTGCGACTAGCGTCAACAACCATCGTGAGACAAAGGTCTTTAAATCGTCATTTTCTTCTTAAACTATTTTTGAAAACACCCGAAACACCGGTAACTTGTCGAATCCTTGAAGAACCAACATATTGCATACCGATTCAAACATTTATACCTTAAGTAACGTTTTTAGTTCCCCTATAGTTTACACACTTATTTTGCTTTTATTCCCCTAAAACTATACCAACCTAGCTAAACACAGTAACACCCGAAAATACTAGCTTGATTACGAGTCCCTGTGGGATCGATATCTTTTATTACTACGCGATAGACTGTGCACTTGCAGTTAGTTCAGTTATACATAGAAAGTCGCGATCAATAACGGGTCTTGAAGCTCTGGTCCAACAGAGATGGGTACATGTAAACACTGGTGTTTAAGTCAGTAATGACCAAAAGTGAGAGATATTTTAAAAAATATGGAGCCTTCAATGACCTTTATAATAGAGTTTTGAAGGAACTATATCCTTTGGGAATTTTTTACCCCACCCTATAGGGTAGAAAAACACCCTATGTAAAACCCAAAATGCCCCTCATATTCTGGAGATGCACATTTAGGCGCACCCCTGTCTTAAGTCAAAATGTTAGAACTGATCCAAAGATGCATTTTTAGACACACCCTTGTCTTAAATCAAATATTAGAACTGATTTAGAGATGCATCTCCAAAATATTTTAAAACACATCTCATGCAGCCCACTAAGCCACACCAATATATTTGGTAAACACGAATCTGGAGATGCATATTTATTTAAAAACACACTCCATGCATCCCTCTATGAAAGGTTCATTTTAAACATTTATTGATTTGAATATGCATCTTCGTAACTAGTCAAAACAATGCAAGTTAAGTTAGTTTTATGGTTACTCATATGAAAATGACAATCTATAAATGCTAAGGCCCTTGTTATGTGATGAGCATTAAACCATACATTTGATATGCAAAAAATGACATATGAATTCGGAGTCAAAATAAGTCATCATTACATACACAATAAAGTCGAAATATACAACGAAGTCGAAATAAGTAAAAATAAAATACCACTAAACATAAACCCAAACTACAAATACTATCAAATATTGTGTACGTCAGACGTGAGCTCCTCGGCCTCCTATGTCCTGACGGTGCCTCCGATACACCAGTGCCTTTGTGCCTCCTTCATAATGGCATATAGGATCTCCCTCACCTCATAACCATTAGGAAAGATGCCTTTGTCAATACATGCCTACGCAATATCCACAATACGTGACATCTAGGTAACACATTATAATCATGATTTAACCTAGCAAGTTCATACTCTAGTATCTTCTGATGAGTTAGTCTCGGTGGATCTCCTGGAGCAACCTGCACCATATATAGATGTGACACCCTAAAGAATCACCTGATGTACCCGTCTACATAGTTCCAGTCACTTTAACATATGGTACTTCGTTCCTCCACTGATACCAGATGACTAAGATAATCATCAAACATGACATCCATATCTCTACATTTTATAGAGGGAGGAGCAGAGACAATAGGGTGTCTTAGAATAGTTTAGGTCTAGCTAAACTGCCACATGACGCGCTCAGGCAGATGAAAAAAATGTTATATGTGAACCGCAAGCCAACCATCCCGAGTATAAGACTATGTCGTCAAATGGTTGCATCTCACGGTGATCGACATAAGTGTTAAAGTGCATATCCTTTGCTACCAAATGATCAAGATAAACTTGAAACAAGTTTGTTGCCTAGTTCCCTCTTAGAGAGGCAAATACAGAAGCACATGGTATATCCTCAATATAAGTCGGTACATATAACTAGCCGGAGATATTTGAGAAGTGCTGGAGGATCCAAGCCTAAAAAGTGTTGGAACATGCGAATCATTAGTAAGGGTGTTGCAAAAATGTAATGAAAATGACACATAAACACTAAAATATCAATAAATATTACCGTCAAAGTGTGATGTTTCATGTCACTTATTTCGTCTTCCACCTACAACCCTCAGATAACTTAGAGTACAAGTAGACCAAACAAACGATCCTCAGTTGTACTTATGAATCTGCTTAAATTCCTCGAAGTATCGTAGGTAGAGGGCATCCTTATAAGTGACACTGTGTCCTAAAAAATGGCAGTGCCAACCAAAAATAATAGGTACGCTCTCATGGCAGACGTTTTATGCTTCCTCACCTGCCCCTCACCATCAGTAGTCTGCTTTGCTCTAATCAGCTCATTTGTATATACCTTCTCCAAGAATCCAAACTAGCATGAGCTCCTTTGGCCAAACTCCCTCAAGGAAGCGTCTGGGTCAACTCCCAAATAGTCTACCATCAAATCAAGTGCCTCATATTTGCTAGTCCTCCCATGATCTAAAAGTTTCTCCCTAATCGGAAGATGCAGTAGACACAACACATTTTTTAGTGCGATTGATATCTCACCAAGTGATAGATGAAATGATGAGGTCTCAGTATTCTCTCTCTCTATAAATTCATTAAGCATCTCGTGGTCACTGTAACAAAATCGGTCTTGCATAAGTCCTTCATCCTAGATAGCTATAAAGCAGCCTAAAACCACTTATCAGTAGACTAATGCAAGCCAATAATCTTCCGCCCATGGTTAATGAATTTCAGCGGATCACGGTCCTGCAGAAAAATAAATCATCGTCAAAAACTTGTAATATAATTATAAGTGTAATTTTAAAAGAATTAATCCAACTAGTTTTACCTCTCTATTCCAGATATGTCTGACAGTGTGGTCCTGGTAAAGAGGCGGAAGCGACAAGTTTAACGGGCCTCCTCCAAATACCTTTGATGGCTCATCAGCCTAAGGTTCATCAGGTGCCTGGGGTGACACTGGTGCCTCTACTGACTAAGGTACCTCCGATGACTTGGGTACCCCTGTTGCCTGAGTAAGTGAAACATGTCGCCTACAGAAAGATGGAGGCAGTGATGTGTCACTAGGTGACACTCGTATCCTACAGGAAGAAGAGGGTGGAGATATATGAACTCTAGGTCTACGCCTCTGCATCAACCGAGTTAGAGAGAAAATGAGCCTCCAAAACCTGACTTTTTCCCTTCCAGACAGATGCATGTTGTGTAATCTTGTCGTGCCTCAATTTGTCGTCTCTATTAGCCATAATGTATGTAGTTAAACCAGACAAGTGTCACACAATTACTACAAGTAACCCTAGAAAAGCAAAAAAAAAATGCAAACTGATAAAACACGGAGATGCATCTCCGCTTCTTGAGAATTCAAACGTTGAAAAAATGTGGAAATGCATCTCTGAATTTTCTTGCAATTTTCATTAAAAATAATGCATTGATCATTACTTTTAACTATGAAACACATTTCTCGTAGTGTATCAACTATCAAACATGCATAAATTATGTATTTCAATACCTAATCATCAATTTCTACGAATTTATACAAAAACTCAAAAAAGTTTACAATAATAAAATATTTATAAAAAGTGAAGAATCTTTGAAGTTGATGTAGTTGAATGAGCTCCTTGATGTAGTTGGTGTTGATTGAAGAAACTTTGATGTTGTTTGATTGATTTTGAGACAATGTAATTTTGGGAGTTTTAGAGAAAATTTTGTTTTTTAACAAGTGGAGAAGGGTTATGACGCGTTATATACTAACAACGCTCAAATATGCATTTCTGTAATGTTTACGAAGATGAATCTCTATAGTTTTTCACATTAAATCAGACTTTTATTAATTTAGGATACGTCCAAATATACATCTTCAAATTTTGATAGTATTTTTATATTTTTTGCACGGTAGACTTAATAATAGATAAGATACATTAAGAAACTGCATATCTTTTGTCCATAGTCTGGTAGACTTAATAATATATAAGATATATTAAGAATCTTTTGTCCATAGTCTTTTATCCAACGTCGCTTTTAAGAGATCCCGTATTGAGATAAATTAAAGTTAGTTAGACATTGACTTAGACCAAAGCACTATTAAAATAAAATAAAACAATTATAACTTGTATTTTTAGTGGCAAATCTATATAAGAAAATGTCCAACCAAAATTATAACTACTTTAAAGTTCTCTTCTCTTTTTTTACAGTATTTAAAGTTCTCTTAATATCATGATATATATTATACTTTTTATTGAAATAAATAAGATTCTAATTAATAGATCATTGTTTTCTAGCCCAAGATTAAGGGGGAAAAAACTATGGACTCAATGAAAAAGAAGAATCTGAAGGCCACTGTAATTTAAATCAGGCTCATGTAGCTTTATCTATTTCACTTTTACATATTCAACGCATGGAATCAACAAAAGAATAGGCCATTTGTTCAGCATATCATATAACAGATACAATTAAATAATAACTTTCTTTGCAAGCAATGTCATTAGCCTCAGCAAAATCTCACAGGAAAAACTCCTACTACACCACCAACATGAAGCATGCAGGGCCACAAGTTCTTTAACATGTACCACTTTTCATCCTTTTTACTTTGTTTTTTCCTTCTTTTTGCTGTTGTTAATACTATAGGAGATAGTCTCAGATTCTGCTTCTCAAAGATATGAAGTTATTTCAAGTTAGAAGAGTTAACTATTCACTGCAATTGCTTTGGTTGCATCCATGTGATTGAATCGACATGTTCCGACGAGGACTTCAGGAAGCTCGTCTTGTGTGTTACCCTGCACGTGATAATACACTGTCAGTATAAAAAGTTTTACACCGTCAACAAATCACAATTAGTTATCGTTGTTACCTGTATCAAAAATGCAATTTCTACCACCAAATTGTTCAGGTATCCAAGAACTAGACTCGCCACTCCTCTTGCAACCGTTGAAGATCCAACGTCGATGTCAAGCTAATAACACGATTCACACAATTTAAATGTTAGCATATGAAATAAATGAAACTTTAAGCTATTAAGGATTACAAAGATTCTGCAATGTTAGTAACCTCTAGATAGTTCTTGCCGCGAATGTAGTTTATTTCTAGCGCTTGTCCGATCAAACATGCTTTTTTCCCGACACTTTGCTTGACTATCCATGATCCCTAAGAGAAGAAAATCGAAAGGGAATCCAAATTTATACTTTTCACAAACTTTAGAAATGTATCTGAAATCTTAGACATGTAATTAACCTCGGAAATATATGGTATGAGCTTAAATCTCGAGTTTCTGTAAGTATCATCTCCTTCAACAAAGCTTTGCAGTAAAGGATTGTCTTCTAAAGGAGTTTTCGTCATGTAATAGACTGCGATGTTATACATGGGACTTCCCGGCATCTGATTCAGACAAGAGTATAATAAAGTAAATTGACGATATGATACGTAAATGTGATTAACATAATAAATAATCATGATATGAGTTCAAACTCACTTGTATGTTGACGACAAAGAAGAATTCTGGACCACCTTTTGCTGCATATTTCTGAGTAAATCCAAATGTGAAGCACGTATCGTAAGAAATTACTAGCAGTAATATTTTGACAATGATAGTTACACTATCTAATAACTCAAGTGCAAATGAAAGGAAAAAAGAAAATACCTGGACTATGGAACCGGGACGACTACTCAAATCGTCTTCTCGTGTGTCACACCGGAGCCAATCTGCACCAACCAATTGCATCAAGGTGTTGGTTGCCTTGACCTTTGCATGGTCTTGTAAATAAGTTTCACCTCGAACCAAAAACAAAGATGGATCGGCATCGGCCCAAGTGCAAGGTAAAGTACATTTTGGATCTTTTGCAAGAGTGAATCCATAAGACCATGATGCACTTTCCTTCCTAGCTGCCTCTTGCAAGTCGATGTAACCCTTCTTTTGAACTGCAACATACATGTTTAAAAGTTTAAACTAAGTTCACGTAAAATCTTTGAAAAATATTCTAATTGAGAAACTTTGATTAAAACTAACTTGAGAGATCATGTAACTTTTTGACCAAACCAGCAGCTGATGATACTCTGGGTTGGGGCACGACGAGTTGTTCTGAAGACAAGTCCGAGTGCCATGGATTATCAAACTGATCATATTCTGTTGATTCAGGAACATCAAAGAACTCATCAGTATCATTCAATCCCATTAAACTGGTGCGGCCGCGAATTTCTCTGTCGTCCACTTCATCTTGCACTTCCACAAGTAGATCAACCGGCCCATTATTCTCTTCGGAAACTTTAATCTTAACATCCTCCTTTACAGTAATTGGCAACCCAATATCTTTTGTCATTACAGGAGACTCAGACGAGTAGTTTCCTGCTTTGGTTCTATACAACTCTCTTAGTGCTGCAAACAAAAATCATTGTAAAAACTCACATAGTATCCTATTCATATATGTATAAAAATATGCGAGTAAACTACCTATAGTAACTTTATCATAAAGTAACTAATAGTAATGATCGCGCACAAGATCATAAAATACTTTTCTCATAATAGATAGATAGATAGATACCTGCAACTCTCTCAAGCATACGGACGGTTATGGATCTAGCAGATGAAGGTCGCAAATCTAGTTTCCATAATCTCCAGTCAATAGCAAGCATATGTCTTACAACTGATTGAGTTCCTTTGTTTACAGGACTCACTACAAATCCTCCACCTGCCAAACGTTACAGCAAAGAAATAAAATCAAGTTAAAATGAAGGTAAAAAATAAAGAATAATGTATGTAAAATTTAAAGCATACATTACTTTTAAGGGAAGCTCGAACGTAGCCTCTCTTGGGTGAGCACTTGGAATGACACACGGAATGATATAATAACACTGCTTATTACACAATCAAAGCAAAAAGAACAAAAAAGAGTTAACCGATGAATGAAGCACGAGTTCATAATCATGAACATAACTATAGATATTAGTTCATATATATAGTGGTAATTGTACCGTATGTGCCATCGTCTTCTCTTCTCCAGTATCTTCGTAGCAATAAATCTCTTGGTTTCATACCCCTATAAATATATGATGAGATTATATTGATATGAATATTACTAGTTATAATAACATGTTTAATGTGTGAGTTATATGTGAATTGGTACATACCAGGGTAGCCAATCGTTGTACAATTGCAGGTAAATGATATCTGTATGACCATCTATGTGATCGACCACACTGCCTCGGTTTGTACAAAAATCCCATCTGCAAACTTCATTCATTAGTACTCACACTTATTGTATTTGGTCTAAATAGAAACATAAAGTGATTGATTTGGACGACTTACTCGGCTCTTGAGGGATCAAGAGACATTAGAGTATGAAAAATGGCCTCTGAAGTTCCATCAACCACGCCAACTGCCATTATTGCTTGTTGATCATCCCTCCGTTGCTGAACAAATAATACCAACAACAAATTTTCACTTTTACAAAACAAGATGATCCTAGTACAAAAACAAAACATTACCAAGTTAGTAGCAACTTACCCTTCCCTGTGAATCCCAATATTTGGCTTCTTTGAACATCCTTAGCCCTGCACACACAAAAAATCAACTATCATATCCACATTAAGCCACTAGCTTTATACGACTGTAGTACTTATTTAGAATCTAGGTAGGTCCTAAAGCTTCACCATTTTGACAGCCAAAAATCTTCCACGGAGAAGGCGCAATAACATCAGTGGTCATAACCTCAGAGTATGCACAGGATTGAAAACTCAAATTAGAGTATTTCCAATCTATGCTTTTCATTCCTCCATTTCTGTTTCAACAATGCCTTACACATTAAGCACACATATATATAAGAAGAACAAGGAGAAAGTACAACAATTCAATATTGGAAATCAATTCATATACCTCAAAGATGAACGCCGTCTCTTGTGACAAGGCACAAAATTCTTAGCCGGATTTTGAGTCTCCTGAAAAACATACAAAGAAAATAAGCTTCTTATCATGAAACAAACCTTTCTACTCATTTAAGGCAGAGAATGTAGAACCTTCATAGCAGCTTCCTGAAAAGAACTTATCCATTTCGCAGCTTCTTCTGAACTACTTGCTCCCAACTATAAACATGAAACTTAAACAATGAATTAATCTGGTGAAAAAATAAACTTTTTTGTTTAAATATATAATTTTGATAAAAGTTACAAACCTTAAGCTTATCCCTTTGATTTGAAGTATTATATATAGTGAAAATAAAGAACACCTGTGCAATGCAAACCAAATTCTCAATCCAATTAATTGCTCAAAGAAACAAAATGCCATTAAAAGTTTCTTACCTTTTTGTTGATACTCTCCCTTCCATTGTCAGTAACCCTAATGAAGGAATCTATCATTGCACTTCTAATTGGCTCCTGAAAATTAATAAACAACTTAATCACAATTCACAACCAAAAATGGCAACACCGTTACCAAAACAAAGCAAAAACATTAAATAAAAAAACAAAAAAAAAAACAAAAGCATTCTTAAAATTAATGTGCAAAAAAGGGAAAAAAAATCGAAACTTTTTGGATTGATTGGAGAATGAATATACCTCCATTTGTGAGGATGGTTTGGCGTTGAAACTCCTGAGAACATTATCTTTGAGAATGAAGTATCTTTTACGTGAGTAATCCTGGCCAAAGCGACTAGAACGAAATAGATAAAGCCACCCTTCCATTTTTCCCTCCTTATTAGCACTCTATGATTCTTCAAAATTGCGTTTTTTTATCAACTTTTAGACGCAAAAAGGGAAAAACTTCAGGGGCTCTGTTTAATGAAGATTGATTGATCCTCTGATCCCGGTAATGGGAATCAGAGAACCAAAAATGAAAACGCAGTGACAAAGATCTTTGGATGTTATTCTTGTTTTGTTTCCTATGTTGCCGGTTGAAGAACAACTAATTTTCGCATGTTTTAGCGTCGTACATGTACGAGGATACTTGAGTTTACAATATTGCCCTTCTTTTGCTTTATTTAATTAGACAATGTGTGTGTGTATTCTATTTAGAAAAATGTTTTTTAATTAAATAATTTGTAATCTTTTTTTATTTTTATAAAAAATTTATTTATTGAGTGTTACAGAAGGATACTTGCCAAATTAATCAAATATGATACGAATATAATGACTGCTTAGGTTGTGTTTTACTTAGCATAGGAAAGGGCAGAATGGTAATTGATGGTGGCCCTGGTTGAAATGGTTAAATAGGAAGGAGATGACAGCTTCTTTTGTTTGTCCCGCCATGATTTGGTCGTTAGGATCTATCTAAAAACATAATAATCAACAAACATCACTAGCTTTCTTTCATTAGATATAAGTATATACCCCTTCACAATATATATATATATATATATATATATATATATATATATATATATATATATATATATATATATATATATATATTGGTTTAATTAAGTGTTAGAAAGATATGTAATAATAGTAATATATTTGAAGAATAAAATAAATGTAATATAAAATTAAGGCAAAATACCCTTTTTCGTCCATTAACTTTAACTCGGGGTCCATGTTGGTCCCTTATCTTTAAAAAGTGCAACTTGGTCCTTTAACTTTTAAAATGGTGTCATTTTAGTCCGCACCGTCAGTTTGCCCCAAACGTCCGTTTGTTTTGTAGGTCTGGCAGATGACATGGCAATCTTGTTCATGATGTGGCTTCCTTCTCCCTCCTCCTTCCGTTGAAATCCCTAAAATAATCCCAAATCCCTAAAGTAATCTAGGATTTTTTTTATTTGGCAAGCATGAAATCCGGATGTTCCTATTCTATTTCAAAATCGAAAAGTCGGAATTCAGATGTTTGTAGTCGGTCACGATGGAAGCCCATGTGCCTTTGTGGAGACATGGTTGTTCTTCAAAGGGCAACTACTGTTAAGAATATGGGAAAACTTTTTTGGGGTTGTCCAAATTATAAGGTATGCAACTATTGTTAAGTTATGTTTCTGTTTCTATTTTTTGATGTTTCTGTTTATTATCCATCATCCTCTAAACAATGAAACTTACAGGGAGGTATGCAAGCTGGTTGTGACTTCTTTGATTGGTTTTATTAGGAGATGGGTGATGAGAAAGAGCAATTTTGGATGCATAGGCTGGGTGTGGTAAATAAGGGACTTGCTGAAGCAAAAAAGGACATTGAAAAAGCGACAATGGAGAATGAAGAATTAGGAAAAAAGCTGATGAAACTTGAAATTGAAATGAATAATATCATGAAGTGGAAAAAGATTTTGAATTTGATGTTTGTGATAATTATCATTGTATTAGTTGTTAGGGGTAGTTAGGTTATTACGGTTTGTTTGGAAGTATTATGTTATGGTTTGTTTGTAAGAATTAAGTTAAGTTTTAGTGGTAAGAATTATGTTTTTATGTTTAGTTAAAGTTTGTATCAGTTTTGGATTGTATCACTTCAACATGAATGTAATAGTTGGATTTTAATATATGGATTCTATCAGTTTAGTTGGATTTTAATATTTGGTATGTTATGTTTTTATGTTTACTGGGTCTGTTATAGACCTGTCAAAGTTGGTATGTTAATTTGGTCTGTTAATTTTGTCTGCATTTCTACACCACATTAGACATGATTGTAGTAATATAAAGTTCATGACAAGTCCATTTCATAATACATAAAGTTTATTACAGGTTCTGCTTTTAGGTTCATTTCATAATACCTATAAGTTGGTTATGCTTTTAACATAAAGTTCATGACAGCAGGATACATAAACAACAACAGCAGGATACATAAACTTGTAATACATTCCATAAAATAGACTTGTTCCACAACTGATACACATGTTCCAAAATAACAGCAGAATACATAAATTTGTTCCAAAATAACAGCAGAATACATAAACTTGTTCATGACAACAGCAAAATACATAAACTTTTAACACAACTGATAGGAGTGTGTTGGCTAGTTTTTTGAGCAGTCTGAGTTGGAGTATGATTGAGTTGGGCTGATTGTTGGCTAGGTTGTTGAGCAGTCTGAGTTGGAGTATGAGCAGTCTGAGCAGTCAGAAACCCGGTCTTCATGAACATGGGCATCATCACGCATGACAAACTTTCTATTATCTGTATTTTGAAACTCAACAATTTCGGGAGGCTGGTTGGATGACATGCCTTCAATCTCTGCTTCATGATATTTAGTAGTTGAGAATAAAATAGGTTCTGATTGTACATATTCAACCACAATGCTCAATGATATTTACATCTGACATAAAGGACTTTCCAGTAGATTGAGAATCTGAAAAGTGAGCTTGCAGTTCCACATGCTCGTCTTCATTTCCACTGAATGAGTTATTATTTTCTGACTCCATGGTAGTTAAAGCATCCATGTAGTTGTCAACCTCACTGGTTACATCATCAGAATTGTACCTAACTAAGTTGCCTTCTATTTTCTTTTGTTCATTGATTTCCAATTTTGTTTCATCAGACACCTTGACATCCCTTACACCCACTGAGATTTGTTCTTTCACCATTACAAGATCTCCATTTGCCTCACCAACCTCTTCTGGAAATTGGTGAGGTTCAGACTCCGGCTCATAAGGGGATGAACAAGAGTTTTCATCTCCAATCGACTTTTTAATGCTACTGATTTCAAGAATTTTAATCCATGCTTCGCTAGAAGCATATGGTGCTGGTTTCACTGGCAGCGGAAAGATTGAAGTTTCATAAATCATTTTCGGATCAGGCGAGGGAGTTTCTAGAAATTTCTCCATGTAACTTTTCCCAGATTTTGCTTCAACAGCAGGTCCATTCAATTGTCTTTTCTTTAGCTTCACTAGGCGAGCTGGATTACTATAACCATTCTCAATACGTTCCTCAAGAAGCAGCTGATGTAATCTGCAGAGATGGAAATAAATTTGAGACACCAGTCAACAATTTAAAGACCTAACCAGTCGAATACCAATGTACCATAACAAAATGATTGGAACTTACTTTGAATGTGACGGTACAGCATTAGGAGCTTCACCGTCCCTTAGCTGTGCTCCTTTCATGTCCCCGGTGGTGGCGGCTGGAAAGAATTCATGTCGACTGTTCGAAAATTTTGCATCAACTTGTATAGACTGGCCAATCACTAGATAGGTGTTACTATCCTCTTTTTGGTGTTTTCCATCACACTGATAAGTAGTCTTTGTATTTTCAGATAACTTTTTTGATTCATAAGAATTATTTGTTGGAAATAAAGGCTGCAACATCATACTGTTACCATACCTACAAACAAGAATTTTGTCATAAGTATCATAAAAAGTTCTGTAGCTTTTTATTTGAAATGCTGAATAAGAAATATGCTCAGTAAAGCAAGAACTGATGCTCACTTCTCAACAAAATAAAATTTTTCAACACAATAAAACCATATTACAGACATATATACAGAAAATACTATATACTAGCCATTCAAATTTTGCTATTAACATCTCTTTGAAGCATTCGAGAAATTGTTCTGATGATAAACACATCAATATGTCTGCTGTCTCTCAAGAAGTTTGACAAATTTTACCATTCTGGAGACTATAAATTTTGTATTCTCCATTTTGTTTTAGTTTATATGACATCTAAAATTTAGCTGGATTTTAAAACCATTGATACATGTGTAACAACATAAACATGACAGAGAAAATAACGGGTAAAGAAGATGCATAAGCAGAACTACAGGAAACCAATTATAACTGTCAATTGTGTCAAAAAAAAACCCTAAATTAGAGAGAAATGAACTAACCTTTTGATTATGTCTCTTGAATCGTCTTCAATCCTCAATCAGAAAACCCTAAATCAGAAAACCCTCAATCCTTCGCGTCTGCAAATCTTGAATCGTCTTCAATGACTCAATGAATTCTCCAAAACTCCAAGATATGATTACACTTCTCCAAGCAGCTCCACCTTGTCGTGCCTTCTTCTGGTCTGGGTAATGGTGGGTAATGGAACCGTTAGAATTGTTTTTCTTCCTCTAAGACACTTCATACCCACGTCAGCAGCTCCACTTGGACAAACATGGCACGTCAGCAGCTCCACCTGGACAAACGTGGCAATTTTTTCAAAGTTTGACTAACGGCAACACACGGAAGGATAAACGTGACACCATTTTAAAAGTTAAAGGACCAACTTACCACTTTTTAAAGATAAGGGACCAACATGGACCCCGAGCTAAAGTTAAGGGACGAAAAAGGTTATTTTGCCTAAAATTAAACTTGATATAGTTGAAATAAAACAATATAATCATTAAAAATTTGTTTTAAATGTAATAGTTTGACAATTTTGAATAGTCTTAAATATATTTTTCATTCTATAAATAATTTATGATTTAATTTTAGTCTCTATAATTTTTTTTGAATAATAGTTTTATTAAAAATTTCCGTTCATAATTTTGATATATACCATCTACTTTCTCTAACATAAGATGACGTGACAATGATAGAGTGGTAAAGATGTTGAAATATGTTAAATTGCAGGGTTACAAACCTCTTAAAGTAACTAATTTATATCATCAATAATTCTAAAGTTATTCAATCTTGATAAAATTTTCTCTTATTTCTAATTCCTAGTAAAATACTCGAGTTCTATTATTTCAAATTTCCAGTTAAAGCAGCAGAAATAATATTCCATAGAATGTCCCATATAAACATTGTCACTTTGACGGCCATGCTTACAGTTTATGCCCAAAACGGTCAAAT